TCTTCTCCTCCTTCTCCTTCTTCTTCTTCCACTTTTGCTTCATCGTTTGCCATCACTCTTGATCTCTTTCTCTCGGTCTTCTTCTCCGCTCACTGTCATTCGCTCTATCCGTCACCTGAAAACCTCTCCTTTTATTCATTCGTTACGACCGAGCATCGAGGAATAAAGTTACGAAATCGATCGGGGAGCCGTACGTTTTTTCATGATCCAGCTTCTTCTTCTCCTGATGAGATTAGAAATCTTTGAGGAGCAATACATTTCTATCGCACAGTTAATGCATGGAAATGTTGACGAATTTCAAAGATTTCAAGTTCTCTTGGAATTAATCGATGTTCCAACCATAGACTATTGTTTATGCAATGTTAAAAATATAAGCCGTTTCAGATAATATTTTAAAAAAATATTTTTAGATTGTATTGCTGGAATTCTGTGTACTTTATATATACTTATGTACCTTATGTATACAATTCTTATTTATAAATTTATCAATTTTTTTGCTATATAGTTATTATGCTACTACTCTTACGATTATAATATTCGTAAACATATACCAATCATAAATTGCTAAAATTTATATTAAATATAATTATAATACTTTCTATATATAAATTATACGTACATCAATCATTGGTTGTTCCTTTCTCTTGATGGTTGCTTGGTCTGTTTGGTAATCGCTTGATCTTTGGTAGTAGCCTGATCTTCAGTAGTTACTTGATCTTCTGTAGTCACTTCATCGTCTGTTATTTGATCGTCAGTAGTAGTTTGATCTTCAGTAGTGGCTCGATCTTCCGTTGTTTCTTGATCTTCAGTAATCACTTCATCCATCAATGGTTCATATTGTGTGCCTTTTGGACTTCTGGGTATATTTCTTATGTCAAATATTTTCTTTGCAGTTTCTCGAATTCTAATTGATGGATAGATTTTTTTTTTTTTTTTTTTTGAATAGCTTAATATTAACATTTGTAAAATAATTGTAAAATATTTGTAAAATAATTAAGTAAAATAATAGATTAAATATAGAAAATAGTTATTGCATATACCTTATGTAATAGTAAGACCCTACAATTATAGCTGCAACTACAATTAAAAAAAGAATCAATACAAAAACACCGACATAATCTTCATGGGGCAGCCAACCAAAGAAAAACCGCGTCGCCTGATCTTCCATCAAATGTGTACGCCAATTTGGAGGTCCTAAAACTTTGAAATAATGTAAATAATATTGCCAAAGTAATTGAAATCAGGAAAATGTAAAGCATTATAAAATATTAAATTGTGAAATTTTGAATTCAAATTTTTGTTGTTACTATCTCCTAAAAGCGTACTATCTACTAAAAAGGTAGTTCACTATGTTATCATAAGTGGATAAATTTCTTAAAAATGCTGCGTTTTGACAAAATATTAAGATAAAAAAATTTTCAATTGCTTCCACAAGAAAAATATTAAATCATATGAAATTCACTTAGGGAAAATTTTCAAATAATAACATCCCTAGAAGATCTTGAATATAATGTTACCCACACTGTTACCGGTTTTTCCGGTTCTCACAAGTTTTACCAAGACTCGTTTAGTAAATTGTGCATATATTAAAAAAGTACATGATTTTATATATAATCGTTTTAGTCGATATGTTGTCTATATATTAATACATTTGAATTGTTCTATGTTTCTTTTATCTCATACTTATTATAATTAATTATAAATGAATATTTTGAAATATCAGATATATTTTACAATTAATAAGATTTTTATTATAAGTTTATGATAGTTAGAGTAATCTTATCATTATAAGAATGAGGAAATTATATTGCAATTTCTTATTAAAATGTTATTCTTTTAGCAAACATTTCCTTAGAGATAATATATCAATGATCCATTATATTCTTATTACAATAATATTCCTTGATGAAAGGTCAAAGTACTAAATTAGTTTATACTACTTATGTAGGAATATAATTTATAGATACAAATGTAAATAATTCTAATAAATCTAAACCAAAAATAGAGGAAATATATATATTATAAAATTTAAATCAAATTTAATAATTACCTCTAATATAAATCATATTTGTTATCCACACGAAGTTCAGATCATTTTGCTTTACAACACATTGCCACATTCCATTATGTGTCTTGTTAATTTTTGTAATACTCTCGAAGTCAGCTGCCATAGGAAGCGTGATGCCATAGTCTTTCCATGTTTTATTCCGTACTAGCCAAAACACTTGAAGCTCCGAATAAATATGTCCTAAAATCGTGCAGTAACATTGTATAGTCATGTCTAAGGTTTCTCTTATCTGTACAGTCTCCTTTGCTGGAATCACTGCCAAACTGATCACTTTAATGATCGAATAGGTTTCATCGATTCGACGTAATGTCATCGCATAGACGCCAGAATCATTTAGAATAGCGCTCATTATCTCTAAATAAACATTGTAATCGTCAATTGTCTCTAAATGATAGATCCTCAAGATAACAAAGAAATAAAAAAATTATACTTTACTAATGTTATAATCTTGTAACTCTATTCTTTCGGGTTCTACCTCCACAAAGATACCATTTAAGGACCATTGCAATTCGGAACGAGGAGATTCTGTAGTAATTAATTCAACAATGTCCGAATCGGATTCAATTGTGATTGGATGCTGTTCTTTAACAGTAAGCGCTGTGTAGTTTGTTCTGATTCTTCGATTTATCATGTTAATTGTATCTGTTCATAGTATTATAAATATATCAAATTAAAATCAAGTTATATCGATTGTCAGTGGATTCTCTCTCGAGAAACATAAAAATTATCAGTGTTCAGTGGTAAATCAAAATAATACTTCAGCCTTTAAGTGAAAGTTGACTTACCTTCAGTTATATCGCCGCACAGAATTTCATTGCAACGTCCAGTCATTATACTCGGTCCCACACACGGTTCTCCTCTGATGTTAGGTTTTGGAGAATTACAACGTCGTTTCCGGATACCAGTACCACCATTGCAGCTCACACTGCACGCCCATGGTCCCCATTCTGACCAACCACCATCCACTGCTGGTCCCTCTATATCTTTTTAGTAAAGCTTAATTCATAAATTGAAGATAAAAAAACAAATAAAATTTGTTGTATAAATATTTAGTAACAGAATACAAACCTATTGGAATGCAATTCACAGACCAAGTGACCCAGCTATTGGAATCAACTCCGACAGAAAAGAAATAAAATATAAGAGGACTATTATGCTGATAATGAAACACATTTGTCGCGTTGGAATAGATATTTATAGTATTTGCAGACCATCTGCGAATTTTGAAAAGTAAATGTTATACAGTATAATTTTTATTATATCTTTATGTTATATTTATTTTTATTGCAGTAAATTTTTCAATAACATTTGCACTAATTTTTACCTTATCGTAATATTAGTCCATGAATTTGTTGTAAATAAAGGTATACGTGATTTCTGTTTATGAAAAATGGTCACTTTAGGATACGTAGTTTTTGTGAATAATATCCAACGATCTGCACCATTAAGTTTGAGCACAAAATATCTATTGGAAAAATATATTAATAAATTACGTTTGACGGAATATAACTGGAATTACCAAAGTGACGAATTCATAATTCCAACATCATAATATTAAGATAATATCAGATAACATAATATTAAGAAATTGTTACATTGGATTGTATATATACTAGATCATATTTCATAATCTATTGAAATTATACACGTGAAATTTAAAGAACGCCAAAAGAAATGATAAAATTAACTTACCCTGGAGTGCCAGGCATTCGATACAAAGGCAAATAAACTGTACCTTGTCCTCGAAGTTGAAGAGTCACTTGTTCAGGAAGTAATATTTCTTTGTCAATCCAGGTCGACAATGATAAGATTCTGGTATATCTATCAGTTTTCGTATTTTCTATATGACAATCTATTTGTACAAAGAACCAATTATAATGATGATATTCATTTTCAATATCTAGCGATTAATAAATGGTGGACATACTTGACTCACGATTAAAAGCGAAGCCAACAGCTTTTCCTCGTTCACTACCATAACAATAATACGTAGGCAGAAAAGCATTGGGAGGATCAGGATGAGACCATTCAAAAAGTGGTGTAGGATCATCTTCGTAGAAAAGCAAAACCTTTCCGCGTGGTATACGAATTATAAAGCTACTCCATTTTCCCACGTAAAGTAAATGCGGCAAAGTTTTCTTTTTAACTAAGGAAATCTCTGTAATTAAATAAATTTTACATGACAAGCAAAACAGTCATACTAAAAGATTGATCTTAAATATCGTGCTTCAATAATAGAACAAATTAATTAAAACTTCTTCTTATCCAGTTTTGCTTTAACCGGTTTTCTTGTTAACCTGTTAACAAGACGGTTGCGAAGGATTAGGTAACTTGTCGGATTACCAATATATTTTAATATTTTTGAGTTAATAATTCTTTTAGACAAAGTCCCTCAGTTTTTTTAAACATACTTTTTAAAGTTTCAAATAGATGATATTTTTTAATTTGAAGTGGTACTTAATAATGAAATAAAAATATTACTATATTTGCGCTTACTAGATTTATATTCTAATTGATCAATTATATTCAAACTGAAGCATACTTTTTTAAATAATACATATTTTTCAATATATAATAATTGTAATACGTTTACAATAAAGCATATCAATCAAGGGAAAATTTGGATAAGTATATTCGTTAATTACCTGCAGTTTCCGATTCGTAAAAGAGAAGCACTTTTTCATTGTCTGCTGCTCCTATTTTCAGAACATAACGTGATTTCAATCCATCATCGGCTAAAAAGATAAGCACGACGGAATCTGGATTATCCGGTTCCCAAGCTTTCACAGAAAAGTGTAAACCTTCGGAACGATATTCGGGTAAAACGTATATACGTCTATCCAGGCCATCTCCCACAGCAAGGAACGTATATTCCTCTATAAATTATCATTAATTATAATTAATCTTAGTGTCTCATCTTTAGAAAATTAATCATTTCAAATTTTTGCAATAAGGAAGAATCTTTAAAATTTGATTTTATATTGAAATACAGAAGAACTTTAGAGAATTTTAGATTTAGACTGAAATATTTAAAGAGAATTAGAATTTCCTCTCTTTAGATCGTATCACGGTATTCACCTGGTTTTTCACAATCCCTAACGTTGCAAAGATCTTGCGGTACCAAAGAATCTGTGGTGTAACACCAAGTGCCGGCGATATTACGTGATGGATTCCTGCAATAATTACTGGCATTCTTGGCACTTCCTTCTGGAAAAACGCTGTCATTAAAGTAATCTCGACCGGCTGGTAATTTGACTTTTGGAACTGCTACGCTTGGTCCCATTTTTGGAGATCTGATACGAGGCGGTTTGGTAGTGGACTTGGGTCGCGTCGCATTTTGGGGCACCGCTGGTAATTTGGGTCTGATTGGCCATTTGTCACAACGACGTCCTGAACGTGTTTTCGAAAGTGTTCCCATGTAATCGTTCGCGGTCCCAGCCATTCGACATTCTGGCAAATACGAAACAAAATTAATTTCATACTTCGATATATTTAAATACAGCAGATTTGAGTTCGTCGAAACAGAATGTTAATTAATACAGTTAAATAGTTATAGTCTACGTAATTAATTACCTGACGACCTACATTTTCGAATCGGGCAATATCGTTTTGAAATAATCATACTCTCCCAAGGGGTATATGCATAACAATAAGGCCCACCAGAATCGCGAATAGGATTTCTACATTTATTAATTGCCTTCAAGGCAGATCCGTCGATAAAATTTGCGTCACTTTTGTCCTCCGCTGGAACCTTATAAAGAAAAAGCAATTATAAATTTACATTACAATATATACATTACTAAGTTTGAAAATTTCAAGTATCAAAATATTTATGTGTAGACTGTAGCAGAAGATAGAAAATTGTTTTATCTATTAAACTTTACTAATAAGTAATAATATGCACATGTATGTATGTAATATTTTACAAATTTCAAGAGGATTATTTATTTTTAATTAATATATCAACTACTATCAAACTATTTCGTTTCTTACATCTTCTGATATCCATGGAATACATGGAACTTCGTTGATACTTGTCCATTGTGTGCCCTTGAATCGAAAATCTCTTATATCAGAGAGACAATTCGGTGGCCAAGCATCTTCCACTGCATCTGATTCTATTTAAATATAACTTTTTTGTAATCATTTTCTTATAATCATGTTCTGTATTAAGTACAATCCTACTGTACTATCATTAGAATTGAAACCAATACGTATTAACTGATCTAATGTAATATACACGTGAACATGTATTAATTAAATTAATATAAAAATTAACATCTAAAATACAAAATTTAGCTTGCGAAATGCTACCTTCTGGGGAACAAAACAAAGTCCACTGTGCTATAGTCTTTTCACTTCCAATGCTAAACCATCTCAAGACGGCAAAGAATATTGCATGCATGTACAGTAATTCGATGGTACCTCTGTGCTTATGCGAATACAAACGAAAGTGTCCCCCAAAAATACTAAAAACATAAAGAATCATTCTGTTAAAACAGCGAGATAGAAATGAAACAAAAGTAGAAAGTTTGATAATCAAAACACGTGGAATTGTCAACCTGACACTGAATTCCCTCCACGACCAAAAATCCAGCAGATCCGAGGTTGAAATTTCCTTTAAATAATGTTTGGTGGCCTCCTCGGATTCTTGATACGTCAGTGTTGTAACATCCTTCCTTATTATTATCTTTTATCATATAATAATTTAAACAATCTATTTCTACGTGTTTCAAATGTTCATTCGTGTTTGACAGTAATTAACCAACGTTCTTTTTCAAATAACAAAAGTTGTCATCTGTTGAATCGATCCAAAATTCAGAGAACAATGACAGGAATACAGAACGTGCGAAGAGATATATCCCGGCATGCGTGAGAGACAAGGAGCGTGACAGCGTACGACTAGGACAGACGTACTTCTTTCAATGCATGGAATATTCGTTAATTTACGTTTCCACTGAATCGCATTAGAAGGACCGAATCTCACATCGTTCTCACTCGAATAATTCTCAACTTTCGCGAGATGACTTGCCGTATAATTGGTTAATTATCGATGACAATGAATCAAGTGTCAAGAACAAGCAGAAGTATCGTGTTACGTACTTACGATATAGTTGCTTAAGAAGTTTATGAACTTTTGCAAATGTATTTCGAGGCACGAGAGAAAAAGCCGAGGGTCTAATTAGAATCTTGCAACTGTGTCTTAAGAAGATTAACAAACTTAACTAATCTTTTTAATTAGTCTTTTCTTCCTTCTGTTTTCGCAAACGAAAACTTGTCAGATTCACATTTGAATACCAGCGCTACGTAGCGGCGAAAAAGTGAAACTAAACTCGCGATGGTGCTGCCACCTGTGAGACTGATACGAAAAAAGAAACAGGAGCACTTCTTTAGAATCACTGCATAAATTTGTTAATTATTCGTTTCCCGGATTAAATCTACGCAGTTTTGGAATTGTAGAATGAAGTCTAGACTCTGAGGAATATTCACGCGAGGAATATTCAGTTTTGACTCGGAATTTCTGTCTCGACAATTAATTATTAATAATCGTTTCACGTTGCCTCGTCAGAAAACGAGAGCAACGCGACGAATTTTCGCAAAATTTACGGTCACACGTAATTCGTTTATGAACATTTGCGCGTGAAGAATGGAGGAAAAGGTTTGAGGAAATTTCCACAGTTACATAAAATCTAAATTTATTTCGTAGAAGTTCAGTATAAATAAAGAACTGGGAACACGCACCGAAGCAACTCTGATGCTTGTCATTATAATCGTTAATAACTAACTATTTAATGGAAATTCAATCCCGAGAGTCTGCCCGAAACTTGCTCGAGGTTTAGTCTTTATTGTGCGATTCCAAAACTGCACGAATTTATTCCAGAAATCAAGTAATTAATGAATATACGACAAACAGGACAGAAAAGTACGTCTGTCCTTGTCGCACAAAGTCCCCTCCTTCTCTGTTACGTCACGTGTATCTGTCCTTTTTGCTCAGTATCGCGCTTCTTGTC